ATGAGAAAATTACAATTTTGATCCTGTGACTATAGAAGTCTTGTTAATTTCAGCACTTGACTTTAAAAATTAACAATTTAGTTCCGTAACTATGCAATTTTTAACACATTTCGTCCTCCCGGCCAAATTACTGGCGAATTTTTGCCAAAAAAACATAAATCATTTTAATTTATATCCTCATTGAATGCATCCCCCTTCATATAACTTACACATTTCTTCATCTTTTATTCTCAGATTTTTTGCAATAAGTCTGAGTAACTTCATTGCTACCCTGTTCACTTCAACTGAATATGTTTCTATAGTGTCCCTGGTCGGTCCAAAAAGGAACACAAATTTACAAATTCCGATTGGCCAGAGTGTGTAAGATTGTAAGAATTTAAGATTGGACAAAGGTCGAGTTAGGTTGAATAAAATCCAATTATGATACATATGAGTCAAATTAATACTAAATAATTAACTACTTTGCAGATTCTCTAAGAAACACAAAGAACCAATAACGCCTCCACTGAGGCTTGAACTCATAATCTTCCAAATGAAAGTCCAACCCGGGTAGCATTAGACCACATAGTCCTGGTATAATAATAATAATTATAATTATTATAACTATAATAATTAGTTATTTATACTAATATTTGTGTAATTATTAGCTTAATTACCATTATGATTATTAGATTTTATATAGTAATAGCTTGGAGGTAGTTTGGGTGGAAAGTTGCAAATGTATTATTTTGTTTTTATTATTAGTATTGATAAGGATAATTTTGCAGATTCTCTATGCAACTATAGAATAACAAAAAAATAATCTATGGTAGAATTTTTTAAGAGTTAATTTCAGCAATGGTCCTCCGACTATATTGATTTTCCAAAATTAGTTCTCGACTTTTAATTTAGACACTTTACGTCCCTTGACTTTCAATTTCTTTACAATTGAGGTCTTTTCGTTAGATTACAGTAAAATGGACTTTAAATGAAAGGGTAAAGTAGTCATTTCATCTGCATAATGTATAATTCTTCTTATTTCTCCCTTGTATGGGCGACTTCGAAAATCAGATTCACTTAATTGCTTAATCCCTAAATCCACTCAAAGAACAAAATTCCATTAGGGATTAAGCAATTAAGTGAATATGATGTCCGAAGTCGTGTATACAATGAATAAATACGAAGAATTATACATTAGGCAGATGAAATGACTACTTTACCCTTTCATTCAAAGTCCATTTTACCGTAATCTGGCGAAAGGACCTCAATTGGAAAGAAATTGAAAGTCAATGGATGTAAACTGTCCAAATTAAAAGTCGGGGACTAATTTTGGAAAATCAATATAGTCGGAGGACCATTGCTGGAATTAACTCAATTTTTTAATATTAAGAGAGTATTTATAGTGCAATTTCAATATTATTATTTGAAAAAATATGGATGACTTTGCAGATTCTCTATGCAAATAATTAGTACATGTGAATTTATTAAGGTTAGGAAAGTATTATATTTGCAATGGCATGTTTCATGTACGATTGTATTCAATATTATAGTGTAATTTCAATCAATATTATAGTGTAATTTCAATCAATATTATTATTTAGAGATTTTGTAAAATAATAAGTAGAATTGCATTAGGGATATGAAAGTATCTGTATTGTAATTTTACTCTAAATTATTAATACCGATTCTTTTCCATTTTTTTTTTTGCAAAATCCTTCATTTTAACTTCCCGCCAAAACAGTCATATACTATTAGTCTATTAAGGTTTTCGTAATATGGTAAAATAGTGTAATAGAATATAGGCCATGTTTGATAAATGGCTGTTAGTTGAGAGCCGTTAGCTGTTTGTTGATTGTGTGAATTAGAGGATATAACTAGTTGATAACATTAGCTGTTGTAGAAAAGTGTTTGGTAAATTAGTTGTTAGCTGATAGCTGTTTGGTATAATTTCTTTTCTAAAAAAACTAATTGAAAAAGTTGTTTGGAGTAGCTTTTTGAATTTTAGCATTTTGGAGTTGCAAAAAGCTAATTAACCAAACACTTATATTGATATTTTAACTAAATCAAACAATTAATAGTGATAAAAAAAATTAAAATTAGCCTATAGGCCAATTTTTTACCAAACAGGGCCATATTGTTTTCTACTTGTCTATTCGTACTACAATTCTACATTAAAATTCCTATTATAATATTGTAAAATAGTGTAATACAATTCATAATAGAATATATTTTTTCCTACTTTCCTATTGTATTACAATTCTAGAAGACACCTCTTTAATAATCTATATACTTATATACTATTAATAAAAAATAAAATCCATGTGTAGTTTTTCACCCAAATTTTTATTAATAATAATATTCTATACTATTAATAAAAATAAAATCATCCTGTATAGTTTAAACTAGGTTCAATGCCCAACACTCTGCAAGCATCCGTATGCATCTCTTTCGTATTCTCAGTTTCATGCATATATGCTACCACAGTTACACCTGTTCATATTGATTTACCTTTGATTAATGACATCTATTTGTTTTGTTATGATAGCAATAATATATGCTATAGATAACTTAGCCATTTCTGGTTTGATTAATGATATCCCTTTGTTTTTTTTTTTTTTTTTTTTTTTTTTTTTTTTTTGTTTGATATCCATCAGTTTAATTTTTTATTATGCTCCTAATAAATTAATGATCCATCTCATCAATCTCATGTGCTTCACTTGTGCCATGTACAGCTTCGCTACATCTTATCGCTAGTGTTTAAACTTTCAAGGTTGAAACTTTTTTTCTAATCTTGTTAGACTTTGAAGTTCAATTCAATGCATTTGGAAATTTTACTGCTTTTTGTTTCTTGGTTTTTTTCTACTGAAATGAGAAGGTTTGATGGCCTAAAAATGCTGAAGATATTGATCGGGAAAAGATTAGTCACATGCAAAAGACTTTGAGGCAAAATATAGCCAACAAATACATTAGTATGGCTATTTGTTATAATTAGTTTCTTTGTCTTTAGTTTTTACAAAATTGTATAAAACATTTCATTTTTGTAGTGATGATTAATTTTTTTAATATATTGATTGAATTTACTCTGTACTTTGATTGCATTATGGTAAAAAATTTCATTTTTACTAATACAATATCTATAGTTACAACATAACATAATATCGATTAGTGAGAAAAAAATGTATTACAAAAAATTAATATTTAATGAGAAGTAACAATATATACAAAGTTAGAAAAATAATATTTGACACTAAATTATAATTTTTAGTGACGGACAAAATTTAATATAATGAGAAAAAAATTTGTTAGTAAATAATAATATTAATGACGGGATTTTCCATCATTACAAGAATATAATGAGAGTGAATTATGCTACTGAGTAGTTGTATCAGTGACGGGATTTTTGGTCATACAAGAACGTTTTAGTGACGGTAAATACACTATCACTATATTCTTATTAATGATGGTATCATATCCCGTACACTACGGGGGGTGACGGTAAATTTCCCTTCATTAAAAGTCTTTTATTATGGTTTTTGATTTTTTAGTGACGGATTTACCTTTCACTAATGAACAATTTTCTTGTAGTGTTTCCCGTCCAAACTTTTATTAATAATAAGGTTATTTCGCTTAAAATGGAAAATGAAAATAAATCGGTAGTATCAAGAATTTATAAGGAAGATTGTGCCGAGCTAGAGGACTGTTTGAGTGTTTTAGAAAAGATTTCTGACTTGAGTTTGACCCGGTTGAAGCCGGATTTGATTGAAATAGATCGTACAAGGCCACGAGGGAGAATGAAGGGACTTCTGGAAGTGATATTGGAGTACAGGAAGAGTAAAATAAGGTAACTTTTAATTTTTCTGGACATTATGACTTTGCAGATTCTCTACGCAAATAATTAGTATATGTGAATTTATTAAAGTTAGGAAAGTATTATATTTGCAATGGCATGTTTCATGTACAATTGTATTCAATATCATAGTGTAATTTGAATCATTATTATAGTGTAATTTCAATCAATATTATTATTTAGAGATTTTGTAAAATAATAAGTAGAATTGTATTAGTGATAGGAAAGTATCTGTATTGTAATTTTACTCTAAATTATTAATAACTGATTCTTTTTTTTTTTTTAGTGTAATACAATTTCTAATATAATATATTATTTTCTACTTGTCTATAAGTACTACAATTCTAAATTAAAATTCCTATTATAATATTGTAAAATAGTGTAATACAATTCCTAATAGGATATGTTGTTTCTTACTTTCCGGTTGTATTACAATTCTAGAAGACACCTTTTTAATAATCTATACTTCTATACTATCTATAAAAATAAAATCTCCATGTGTAGTTTTTCGCCCAAACTTTTATTAATAATAATATCATATACTATTAATAAAAATAAAATCTTCCTGTGTAGTTTCCCGTCCAAACTTTTATTAATAATAAGGTTATTTCGCTTAAAAATGAAAAATGGAAAAGAATCGGTAGTATCAAGAATTTATAACGAAGATGGTGCCGAGCTAGAGGACTATTTGAGTGTTTTAAAAAAGATTTCTGACATAGGTTTGACTCGATTGAAACCGGATTTGATTGAAATAGATCGTACAAGGCCACAAGGGAGAATGAAAGGACTTCTGGAAGTGATATTGAAGTACAGGAAGAGTAAAATAAGGTAACTTTTAATTTTTCTAGACATTATCGCTTCTCAAATTACGGATCTTTTTCTATTTTTTTTACTGCTAATTTTATTATTATTCTTAAGTGTTTGGGTGGAAAGTTAAAAATGAGGATTTTGTTTTTAATAATAATATAGAAGTATAGATTTGTAGATTCACAAGTATTATAGGGAGGTTTCAATTTGCGTTTTTTATACGAATTGGAGAATCTTAAATTTAGAGTCCAACATTGCTTAGGTTTCATAGCAATTCGCAATGAGGAGGAGAGGGAGAATACAACTTTACCTTAATAAATACAACTCTAACTATTTTGAGACGGCATCGATCAACTCGTAGGATACGATGAGCACATCGGAGAAGACGGCGACCGCGACGGCGACCGCGACGGCGCGTGTTTCAACGCTCCTTCTTCCCCAAGACATTCTCGTCGAGATCCTCTCCAAACTCCCCGCTATATCGCTAGTACGATTCAGGTGCGTTTCTAAATTCTTTTGCGCTCTCGTAGCTGATCATGGCTTTGGCGTTCTGCATCGCAGCTTGTCCTTGACAATTCCCAATAGGGCGGCCATCCTCATCTCTATCATACCTCTAAAGCCGCCGCCCTCCGCCTGTGCGTATTACACCATAAATTTCAGCGAAGAAAACCCACAGCGGCCGGGAATGCTCCAAGCCAACCGTCTCGGCTACTTGGACGCTGAACCCTTTCTGAAAGGCTGTCTACACTCCTCCTCCGACGGCCTGATTTCTCTGTCCAGACCCAATGGAGACGTCATTGTTTGCAACGTTTGTACGGGACAGCGTATTTCCCTTCCGACAATCCAATCCTATATATATTTATCGTGTCCACACTTGGGGTTTGATTCACAATCTAAAAGATACAAGGTTTTGATGTCAACCTATACGATTGATCCAGGCAGCAGGCCCATGTATAAGCATTGGATTTTGACTGTGGGAGTGGATAAATCATGGAGGGAGATCAACTGCTCCTATTCCTACCCCTTCTGCTCTAGCTATGCTTGCCCTTCCTACTGCTATAATATTAGTGTCAACATTGACGGTGTTATCTATTTCTATAATTGGCTGACTGAACCTAACTATCTTACCTTCCATATAGTAGCATTTGATGTTGGGTATGAGAGTTATTCTTTGATACCATTTCCAGCTGAACTTTCATCATTGCAGTATTATTCAGCTTCATTTACCGAAAAATATCACGTTCTTTACGGAAAGTATGCATTGCTACAAGTTGATGGAGGTCGACTGGCTATTGTTCTTGTTCGCCAAAAAGGCCACCAATTCTATATTAATGTTTGGACTTGGGAAAAATCTAAGGAATTCTGGGAGAAGATTCTTATGACCATTTCATTAGGAGAGGATAGAACAATGACTAGAGTTAGATACCTGCGCCATACTACGAATTATGCTGGGGAGATTGTGTTGTTATGTAGAAATAGTACTCAATTTTTCATTTTGGTTTGTAACTTGAAAAGTGAGGTTTGGAGAAAATTTGATGTAGGTGGAATTGAAGAATTTTCAATTCTTTACCCTATGGATGTTAGAATGTACAAGACTATGGACAATGTGTTTGGGGGTTAGAAAGGTTTAATTTGGGGTTGACAAGAGCTGGATATTTGGTCTGATTTGCTGTAATGATTAGTCTAAATGACAGCTTCAATTCAGCTGATGAGGGAGGGCTTAACTTCATTAATTTCAGAATGTTTCCATTTTATATATTCCTAAACTCGTAGTAGCGGATTATGGAAGCACAGTTGATGTCGTGTTATAATGTATACCATGTATCTCATCAATTCTGGTTTATATTAAGTTGTTATTTGTATCTCATCAATTCAGGTTTATATTAAGCTGAGTAATTGTTTACGCGCTCCCTAGGCCTAGGCACGTAAACTTACTGTGCGCTTCTGTGCGCCATTGGTTTTTATTTTTTTTAGTACGGTTTACAAAAAATCAAGACTTACTGGAAGATCTCAAATTTCTCTCTTTTTCTCTCTCCCTCTTTGGCATCATGCTTGACCCAAAAAAATCACCTAAAATTATTACTAAGAACATTCCCATTAGATTTTTACAAATTGGAGAGCAAGTTTTTAACAAATGAGAAAGATAATTTTTATGATGTTTTTTTTTTTTTTTTTTTTTTTTTTTTGCGTCACGAGGAGAGAAAAAAGGAAAAGAAAAGGTCATTGTTGCCCATAGAGCGCAACATTCGCGCCCCGGGTAAGGCACGTGCCTTGCTTGGTGCATTAAAGCAAGCTAACTTTTACTATTTTTTTTGTTGCATTAAAGCAAGCTAACATTTACTACTTTTTTTTTTTTTTTTGTTTGACAATGTTTTTTAAAAGTTCCGGAGCCTACTTCTTTTCTCGTGTAAGTTCAATGACCTATTTGACTATTTTTTTCCAAAGAAATTAAGTTTATAATTGGGAGTTAGAGTAGTTAATTATTTAGTATTGATTTGACTCTTATGTATTATATAACTGGATTTTATTCAACCTAAGTCGACCTGGCCTTTGTCCAATCTTAAATTCTTACCCACCCTGGCCAATCAAAATTTGTAAATTTGTGTTCCTTTTTGAACCGACAAGCATACTCAGTTGAAGTGAACAAGGTAGCCATGAAGTTACTCAGACTTATTGCCAAAAATCTGGGAATAAAAGATGAAGAAATGTGTAAGTTATATGAATGGGGGATGCATTCAATGAGGATGAACTATTATCTACCATGTCCCCAAGCAGAGCTCGTAATGGGTCTCAACCCCCACTCTGATGCAGATGGCCTAACTATCCTCCTTCAAGTCAACGAAACAGAAGTTCTTCAAATTAAAAAGAATGGCGCTTGGCTTCCTGTTGTGCCAATTCTTAGTTCCCTCATTGTCAATATTGGAGATACATTGGAAGTAAAGTGATCTCCTTTTTTTAATATATATATATATATATATATTCTGTCTCATTTTATCTGCCCTACTTACTATTTATTGGTCAAACCAACTTTTTCTTCTTTGTTTATTTTCTTTAGTATTTTTTTTTACTTATTTTTAAATTTAATTTTGTGTGTTTAATAGTACTTTTAGTGTAGTTTCTAAATATATAAATTTTGTATGTATGCTAATACTAAACTTAATATTATGAAAAATTGAATTAAAAATCATTTCAGTCAAGCTTCGTTAATCGAACCAACCACATAGAATTGGACGGAGGGAGTATTTTTTAGAAAGATTGTATAAAATGTGTAATCCAACTTTTAATTTAATGTTATAATTGAGATGGTACATATATATTTTATTTTTTTTTTAGTTTGCTATCGGAGACAGTCTCATACAAAAGATAACTCAATTATCAACTTAGACATTTATGAGCTCTTTGGTTGGAGGGAATCGGCGATTCGCAATTCCCTCAACTCATTGAATTGGAATTCATAACTTCCACATGACTTGAAATTTAACAACAATAGGGGAAAAAAAGATGAAACCACCATTTATTATTATTATTATTATTATTATTATTATTATTATTATTATTATTATTATTATTATTATTATTATTATTACACAATGATATTTTTATCTTTATATCACTTATTTTCTTTCAATTATCAGTAATTCTATTCCTCCTTACTAGCCAAACAATGTAATTTGAATTTCTACTTGATTCCACCTTCTTTTCTCGGAAATTACAATTCTTTTTTTTTTTCCTAATTCTCTCCTTCCAGCCAAAATCTTGTTAGTTTAGACAGAATACATCTTTCAATTTAGAGTTTTTTTGAAATAGAATTTACTCCATATTTACTTGTATTAAATAATAATAATAATAATAATAATAATAATAATTGTTTTAAAATAATAATAATAATAATAATAATAATAATAATAATAATAATAATAATAATAATAATAATAATAATTTAATAAAAGAAATAAAATTAAAAAAAAAAAAAACATATGGGGAGCTGAACGTTCGGCTCCCCTTAGTTTTGCCACTTTTCCCATACCAGTGGGAAAAGTGGCATGGGAGCCTTGAGGCTCCTATAAAAGGAGCCTTAAGGCTCCAATTTAAAAATTAAGCTTGCCCGTCCGTGGATGGGCAAACAGTAAGCCAGCAAAAATAGCTCTTGTTATTCAAGGAGTTGAAATGGGTCTATAGTAAACTTTTTAAAATAAATAAATAAATAAATAAATAAATAAATAAAGGTGTTTTGGGGAAATCATTCTCAGAAATGCTAAGTGAAAATATTGTAAATTGCAATATTTGTATTTTCAGTGGCTTGGAACAAATGGTTGCTTCAAACTGTTTAATAACCTAACACTTTCTTTAGCATGCATTTTGATCTTTGGGTTACATCATATTTACTAATCGTCCAATATCTTTGAGAATACATTATAATTAAAAATTTTACTACTTCATCTAAATTCCTTAAATTATGAATTTCTTTATCCATAATAATTTATTCAACAATAATGGTTGAACTAAATGAACTATGAGCAAAACACCTAAAGCATTGGTACCGTTGATTCATTCATTGATCTTGTATATATGTGCATTCATTAAATATATTAGAACCCTTTGCAACAAAAATACTTGGTTACTATTTAAAATTTTTTTAGTATCAATTAGAATGAATTTCCTATATTACATTGTATTCATATACAATGAGCTAAATATTTAAATAAACAAATTTGACATTAAATTACTGATGTATGAAATTCTCATATATAATCTTGCATTGATATACTTTCAAATATTTGGGCTCGTTTGGTTCGCGGAAAATATTTTAAGGGAAGTGGAATTAGAATTCCATGGAAAAACAATTACAAGGAAGATGAATTTCATTGTTTGGTTGGTGGAAAATGAATTACTAGGAATATTAATTATATTGTTTGGTTAGATTTGGAATTTTAAGGAATAACAAGTATAAAGACATATATGCCCCTACAAATTAATAAGAGTAATATAATTAGAAAAAGAAAACAAGGGTAAAATAGGCCATCCAATTCACTTTTTCTTCCCATCTTCCGAGGAAAACAAAATCCTTGGCCCAGCCAAGGATTTTGTTTTCCTCAAATTTGAGGAATTCATTTCCCAATGGAAAATGAATTCCATGAACCAAACACCAGAAAACAACATTTTCCTCTACTTTAAGGAAAATATTTTCCTTTGGAAAACATTTTCCATGAACCAAACATCCCCTAATAGTTAATGGGATTCAAATTTCATCTAGGAAATGCATAAATTGAATATATGTTAGTTGTATACAGTTTATACGTTTTTATTAGAACCCTTTGTAACAAAAATACTTAGTTACTCTTTTAAAAAAAAAAAGTTTAGTAACACTTATAATGAATCTTCTATATTATATTGTATTTATATACTATGAATTACATATTTAAATAAACAAATTCGACATTAAATTACTTATATATGAACTTCTCATATATAATCTTGCATTGATATACTTTCAAATATTTATTTAATTATAATCATTGGACATTAACTCATTCGCGCAATGCGCGTGTAAAACTAGTAATATGATAAGTCTCATGATAATCATTAATGGTTTTAGATTTTTTTTTTAGGTCAACCAATGTGGTTGTATTTATAGATAAACTGAAATAGAGTCAGGTGGGATGTTGTACCAGTACATAGCCATTGTGGAATTAAAAGCTGTAGTAGCTAAAGTATGTGTTAGTAAATTCTGTAATCTAGGAATAAAAGTGACTGAGCAAGAACTAAAAGCAGACATGTAAGTTCTGCAACTATCAATAGCGTACCCAATGTACGATCGAGACGGGGTGCCTGGTGCGGATAGATAACACTACAATGTTTGACAATCTGTGCGTAGCTGTATAGACTCTTCTCCACGCGCCCTTAGCCATGACAAGGCCTCTTTGCACGTAAACGCTTCGGCCATAAGAGGGGAGAAGTAACTTGGGAGAGGGCACTGAAGGTTGAAATATAGCGGCTGTCGGCTTCGAGGAGGACTGCTCTGACCGTAGCCGAATTCGTCCCATGATGATAACCTCCATCGACATTACATTTTCTTGGCCTTGTTGGCATTTCGTGGGGCTGTCCAGGTTGCAGCAACAATGGTGGCGGTGGCTGCTTGCCGGTATAGGCTGTGGCGTGGGCCGTGAGTTCGACCAGCAGTGGCATATCTGTAACACCCTGTGTTACGCCCTTTAATCCCAGATTAATTATTTAATTAATTCCGTTAAAGAATAGTTAAAAAGGATTTAATCTGGCCAGGATCCCTTAATTAATTAAAATAGAAAAACACAAACTAAACAAAAATAGAAATAAAAAAAAACGAACCTAACAACTAAAATAAATTTGAAAAGAAAAACTTAAAGAAAACAGTTTAATAAAGTGTTCCCCGGCAACAGCGACAAAAACTTGATTGCTATAATCTGCAAGCGCACAGAGTCAATCACAGTATAAATTCCTAGAGTATTCCAGGGTCGATCCCACGAAGAACACTATTAACTGTTATCTTGAATAATTAATTTGTTGATAAGGGAAAGTGCAAATAAATAGAATTAATGTAATTAAAAAGAATATTTTATGAATTAAAAGCAAAGAAAATTTCAA